ACTGTCTCAAAAAGACCAAAAGAAAAAAAAAAAAAAGAATTAATCTCTAAGTGCAAGAAAGTTTGGGGAGACTGGAGAGATGGCTCATCAATTATAAGCACTAGGTGCTCTTGCAAAGGACCAGGGTTCAATTCCCAGCACCTACATGGTGGCTGACAACCATCTGTAACTCCAGTTCCAGGGGATCTGACATCCTCTTCTGACCTCCTCAGGCATTGCACAACCCACGTATGTACATCCAAGCAATATACACATAAAATAAAAATAAAATATATATATTTTAAAGAATGCTTTTGTTTGGGTTTGACTTTTGATGATGTTGGGGATGGAATACAGGGCCTCATGCATGTAGGCAAGTGTTCTGTCATTGAGCTACTTTCAGCCCCAGAATACTTTATCATTAAGAAACAAAAACTAAATCCAGCTTTAATGATTTATCTTTTCATTCGTTTGTGTGGCTGTGGCAGTGTAAGCCTGGAGCAGGTCTGGCCTCCGTTGCGAGGAGCTGCATTGCACTAGAGAGGAGAGGTAAGGGCCAGAGAAAACAGTTTGAAGTCAATCAAAATGCTGAATAGGTGTGGTGGTGCATGCCTTTAGTCCTAGCACTTGGAGTCAGAGGCAGGCAGATCTCTGTGAGTTCAAGGCCAGCCTGATCAACATAGTCCCAGCCCAGCCAGAGCTATGGGGAAGACCCTGTCTCAAAAGACCAAAAACAAACAAAAAGCTGGCAGGCTGAATTCTTTTACGGTGAGAAATGGGGGTGATAAGGAGGTTGCTCTGGAAGTCATGTTTGTCTGTGGAAATGGGCAGCATTCAGTTCCTGGAGATAATAAGGTTGGGGGCAGAAGGAAAAACAAAAGCACAAAGAGGAAGCAGAAAGAAGCTCCAGGGAAAAGGTCCAGGGGATGTAGCTCAGTTGGAAGAGTACCTGCTTAAGAATCTAAGAATTACAAGGCCTTGGGTTCGATCCCCAGTACTTTCTTTTTTTTTTTTTTTTTTTTTTGTTTTTTTTAATGTAGCCTTGGCTGGCCTGGAACTCACTACAAAGAGCAGGCTGACCTCGAACTCACAGAGATTCTCCTGCTTCTGCCCCCTGAGTGCTGGGATTAAAGGTGTATGCCATCATGGTTTTA